CGAATGGGGCAAGATGGGTTTTCATATAACAGCTCAACAAAAAATCTTAAAATTGGGTGAAAACGAAACTGTATTTGCATCTTGTATTTTAAAACACTAATTGGCTTTTTGAAATATTATTAACGCAATTTTATGCACATAAGTTTACTTTTAGTGCCTAAAAAAAAGTTCCTCACTTTCGGTTTCTCATAATGGATGGTGTCCTTCAAGCTTAACTTCTTTAGAAGTAGTTTTTTGCAATTTGTGTTTATTTTTTGTTACTTTAGTTAGAGTTATTGGTAGTTTTGAAAATTTTATAAAATTGGAGGTAAAAATTGCATAATACGTCATCTTGCCCTGGTCACGTGACCAGGTGACAAATTTATGAATTTTTTATTTTAATATTTATTTCAAATTGTTATATTTGCAAACTGAAAATTCATGCAGGCAATGAAAGAATTTAATAACATAAACATACTGAGAAAGTATTATGGCTTTACGACTTATAGTTTTGCAACAACTCAGGGCTTTCAAAACGTTCTCCATGTTGCCCCGCTTTCCCCTACGTCTAGAGATTCTTTACTGGTTAGTTAAAGTTAAAAGTTTTCCGCTTTGTCTTCAAATAATAAGTTGTATTCATATAAGTAGATATATATCACGTAAATAAAGCTAAATTAAATTAATAAAAGATCGAAAAACTATTTTATGTTCTGTTCAAACTGTTCAAAAAACTATTTTGATAAAACTACATTAATTAAAAAGTTTTGAAAATTGTTTTAATCGTGATCTGTTAATAAATATTTTAAATACAAAGTTTCATCAGATTCGCAAAAAATTGTGATATCCTTTAAACTTATGCAGCTAGTTGGGTACAAATGTTGGATCTTTGTGTATTTACAGACGAAGGAATATCGCACTAAAACTTCGCGAAGGTATTGACAGCCTTTAGATGATCTTTAATAGATTGCACCAATTTTTTACCATTTTCAGGGTTAAACATTTGGTTTTAAAACCAGAAATCTGCCCATTTTCCAGCAACAAGCTTAACGGCTCAAGTCATTGTCTCTCTGAAGGAACTAGTTTGTAAGCAAGTAGTAAAAAAGTTGTCCGGGAGTTCCATTTAATTCGGCTAATATTTGGTAAATTTATAATATTATATGGGAATTTTTTTTTCATTCCAAAAGTATTTCACTACGTTAATTAAATGCATAAAAAACTGCATGTCATCTCTTCATTTTAGTTCGTTCTTCTTCAATTGTATACCAATATTGTCAAAGTTTAATGTTAAATAGTCATATTTATTACATATTGCTTCAACAAAATATTATGACAGATCAGGTAAATTAGTATTACCTCCATTAAAATTGTCATGGTATAACTTTAATATTTGATCTAATATATATTGCTAACAACTAACATAAAGAAATTTCTCAAAGGCAACACTTTCAAATTGCGTTATTAATCTTTTTATAACGCCACTTGTTGTCTCAGCCTTAACATTTGTAGTGTTTGTTACAATCATTTTTATATATCCCCATAAATCATATTCATTCAAAAGTTCTCAAAGTTCTTCAAAAATTGTCTCTGACTTTCCATTCTTAAATGCCATTGGTTTTAGCCTAATCTCTTTTTTATTGTTTTTTTACCAAATCTACTTTTTTATCAAATCTACTTTTATTAAATCTAAGGTTCCACCCCTTTTATCTTTTTATTATCAAAATGCAAATACCAATTCTCAACCTTTAACTATTTTTTCAATTTATCTCGTAACTTGTTATTTTCTTTGATGACTGTCATATGGATTGCAGTTTGAGTTTGTGCAGGAAGGTTGACATTAGCCTTCTAAAGTTGTTGACACACTCTGGTAGCTTTTCGTGTACTCAACTTTGCTTGACTAACCAATTTGATATATAACAGCTTCGAATGTCCTCTGTTTAGTTTTTCTTTTATTATTATTTGTTGAACTTATTATCACTGCCACGTCATTTACTGACTCATTACTACTTTCATTAATTTCATTATAAACCATCAAAACTATAACTACGCAGTGGGCATTAGACGTCCTAAGAAGTTCAAAGGACGTTAAATGGATGTCTTTTAGACTTCTTATGACATTCAATGCCCACTGTGTGCCTGGTTTTTTGATTTTGATTTGTATCTTATTAATCAATTTTTTTATTATCCTTGACACTGTTCTTTTGTCTGTTATGGGAAAATTCAAACTAGCCTATAGTTCTGGGCGTTCATTTGAAACTTTGTTTGTTCCTTCATATTTTTATAGATGCTAAGCTGCTGTATCTGTATGTAACTTGCCAATTTGTTGGGATTTTACATATTGTTCCTATAAATCTTGAGACTCATTCTTACGTAATCTTTTACTTTTCTCAAAGTGAATCAAATTCCTTTTCCTTGCGTCTTTTATTTTTTGGGTTGCAGTAAAATTTTTGTTTGAGATTTTAAATGTTGTGTACAAATGAACTTGTAATGCCTTTTACAATTTATTATTTGATTAGGAATTTAAAACAAACAACGTTTTTTGAATACATTTACAGCCACAGTCGTTACAGCCGCATTAATTAACATAAATATAAGTTTAAAGTTGATACTCGGTAGAACAAACACTCAACAAACCCAATGTCACTGATACCTTTTGTATTTTGCAGTTTTATTAATAATAACTCATTTGTTACGTGAGTTTT